TTGAAGTTCTTCTTAAAAGTTGTGGCAAACAAACAAACAAACACACACACACACACACATACATACACACACACACACAATTTTATTAGCATTCTTCTCATGTATAAACATATATCCTTTAAAACTTTTTTTACTACTTCTTTTATTTTTGAGATTATAATATATCATTTGCCCTTTTCCTTTCCTTCCTTGAAATTCTTTCATGTATCTCTCCTTGAGTCTTTCAAATTCAGGGCCTCTTTTTAAAGATTAATTGATGTTATTATATGTATATTAAAGAGTAAATATATTATATAATATACATTATATATTACAATAGCAAAAATATATACCACAATAAAGACAAAATATAAGAGAAATAATACCTGGAACAAATTTACAGTTTGGAGACAGTCCATTAAATTCCAACTGGGATTAATTAAGACTGACTTAGTTCACACCTGTGGATGTGAGTGCACACTCTAATTGTCATAAATCACCCAGCTATTTGGTGTTATATGGCAACATGTCTTGTAATAGCTGGCCAGTACAAAGAGGTGAGTTTACAAACAGAAAAATCCAGTGTTATGAAGTTCATTAAAATTTCTATAGTAAGACAGAATAGGACTCTGACTAGATTAATAACAGAAGAAACAGGAGAAAGAGATGCTGGGAAGTCATAATATCAGGGACTCGGTGACTGGTTGGACATCAGAGTTATAGAGTGAGAAGAGGAAAGCCTGTCTAGGTTTCTTGCTGCCATATCTGGAGGAGTGCAACAGAGACCATTTGTGATCAAGTCAGAGGAAGATGAACTTTGAACATGAGGAATTGAGGAATTGAGCTGCAAATACACATGTAAGTGAGAAGTTTCCCTGTATCTGTCTATTCATCTCTACAATAAAGGGAGAATCATAGGGTCTACCATATAGCAGCATGCCAACTATGCAACAGGGCTTTGAAGAGTACTGTTACAAATTGGCTGTGATAACTATTAAAATGAAAACACTCACACACTTATTTTCATGCTGCCAGATGCTATAAGCACTCTAATTCATATTTTAAAATAATGTTGCTGTCTTTGATGTTAGTCACACATTCTTTTAAAAAATTTACCAGAGAACTAATGTTTCTGAGAATCAATCTCTCTCTCTCTGTGTCTCTCTCTCTGTCTCTCTCTCCCTCCCTCCCTCCCTCCCTCCCTCCCTCCCTCCCTCCCCCCCTCTCTCTCTCTCTCTCTCTCTCTCTCTCTCTCTGTGTGTGTGTGTTTGAAACATTTTCACAGGTTTATCTAGAGGAATAAAAATATTAGTTACATAATTGACCAATTGTCTTCTTAGGAGACCCTAGACAATTCCTTCAGGAACTCTGAGCCTCATTCCTGTGTGAGGCTAAGGCTTGCCCTGTTGATTTTTAGATGTCTTACTATTCTTAATAGGTATGCTCTTATAACATGTTAAGCTTTACCTCTTAGTAAGGACATCCTTTGACCATCATTTGTTTCCTGATGTTTGCTTGCCCTCCCTTTATACCCTATCACTCTGTTTTTCAGTAGCAAATTAATCTGTCCAGATTGTGGGCTACATCCCAGGCTTATTTTTAATCTGTGTGTGAGTGATAAAGATCTAGAAGCTGTTTTGATTGGTGTGCTTGCATAACTACAGCAGGATTCCATTTACCACTTAGTCAAGGTGGTAATGAGGGTTTTCTGTACCAGGCAACTGTGGCTGCCATCTGGCAAGCCAGCATTACATGCCTGCCTGGCAGACAGAACCAATTAGTCAGTCCCCACGCCTCCCAGGAGGCCTTCCTGTATTTGGTAACTGGTGTCCCACACTAAGCCTCTTACAAACCCATGATGAATTCTAAGTGGAAAGAGCAAAGTCATTTCCATTTGATATTACAGGATCAGCAAAGACTCCAAATCAAGAGAGTCCATGAGATGAAGTGCTGACACAGCAAACTTCTTCCACTTAGTTATGGTAAATTCCTACTTCATGTACCAAAAGATGGGGAGTGAACATAGAAATTAGAATTAGTTTATGTGCTACAATGGCTTTGTGTCTATCCAGGTAAAGGAGTGGACTTAATCTGGGAACAACAGGGCCTACAATCTGAGCTTGAATTATCAGATTGGCACTTTTCAGCCTTATGATATTGGCAAAGCAGTTGACCTCATCTGTCAGTTTTCTTCTCCATGAACTAAAGATTGAGTGTTTCTTGCATCACTGGGTAATTTGGGATAGAAATTAGCTAATACATGCAAAGAGCTTAGGCTAGTGCTTGACACAAGGCAAATCATGGCTGCTAGCTTTAAATGCAAATAAAGAGACCTTAAAGTTATGGAATAGGACAAACTTTTTTCATGCTAACGGAAGAACCCCTGAAGTGAAATTAATTGAGCAGAGAGCAAAGAATACATGTGTAATGTTTCTCATTCTCTGTCAACACATAGAGGGTAGAAGCAAATGAAAGTCCCTAGTTTTCTGTTTTAGGTTTTATTTTCTGATTATTTATATGATATTGTTTTCTAGCAATTGTGTAAGATTTTATAATTAGGGAAGTCAATTAAATTTTAAAGCAGAGGGCTGAGGGTGTAGCTCAATTATTATAGAGTCTATCTAGCATGAACAAGGTCTGAGTTCCATCCTCTTCACCACATATACCAGGCATGGTGGCATATGCCTGTAATCTGAGCACTCAAGAAGGAAAGCTGAGGTCAACGTTAGTCCTCAGCTACATAGAGTTTTAAGTCAGCTTGGGATACGTTGGACCTTATCTAGAATAGGTGGTTGAGGAGGAGGAGCAGATGGGAGGAGGAGCAGAGGGAAGAGGAGGGAGGAGAAAACTCAAGAGCAGGGGACAGGAGTCAGAAAACAGCAGTGGCAAGAGTGGGTTACACATCTTATCTGCACACTTATGAGTCATTTCAACTTTGAGTCTCAGGGTGCCTTCCATCTCAGTGAGAGAAACAAAAGCGGCACCTGCGTCAGGTAACGCAACACCAAAAATGCAAAATAATAAGGTGTACCTGAAAATACCTGTTCATAATAAAGTGCCTTAAAAAACTGTAGTATTATTGTCCAAATCATTCTTGGGAGTGAAAAAACAGAAGCAACAAACCAATGCCAACATCAAAATTAGAGAGAAACCCACGGACTTTTAGATATTTATACAATATTATTTTAGTTTTGGTAATTCATTCTTTCTTGCTCCAAGCAGGCCCTGACTTCAAGGACTCATCATGAGAAAGCCAGTAGAATGTATTAAATGCAGACCAGAAGGTCTGGGTTTCAACCTCAGTTGTACCATTAACTTACAGGCCACGTTACTTTCATAAAAGGACTCCAGTGCTCAGCTGGAACCTTCAGAGTGCATTCTGAAATCCACTGGTGGGCTGTCAAGCACTCCAAACACACAATCTTTAGCCTGAATCTTATGCACAGAAGATCAGAAGTCATAGGCATTCATTTCCTCATATGGATAAAATCTAGCTAGCATCCCAGTGATTTTTAAAGGCATACTAAAATTATAAGCTAAAAATATTTCTGTTTGAGTTTTGTGGATACTTTAATCAGTATTCTACTAAAATATCTGGCTGTCACTTAATGCTTGGCAGCATTGCAAAACACCCACTCTATGTATCCATTTAATTGAAATTTCAGTAATTTTTGGAAATGGCACTTTGTTATCAATGAATCATTAGTTTTGTCTTGATTTGGATCCAGTTTCAGTTGGTGCTATACTTGGCTTCTAATTTCAAATTGCTAATCATTTAGCTTTATCCTTCTCAAGATAGCTTTTATGGATTGTTTGGATGGTTACTAGCAGAGTCCACTGATACGTGTTTCCATAAAACAGTTTGGGGATTTTCTTTATAATTAGACATGGTTGCATGGTATTTTGAAAATTAACAATCTCTTCTGGTAATGTGAAGGCAGACAGACTTTCTGTTTCTAACAAACTGGAACCTTACATGGTGTGCTGGTTAGATTCTTGTCAATGTCACAAAAGTTAGAGTCATCTTGGAAGAGAGAAGTTCAGTTGAGAAGATTCTCCCTTCAGATCAGCCTGTAAGCAAGTCTGTGAGGCATTTTGTCGATTAATGATTGATGTAGGAATGCCCTGCCCATTTTTGTGTGGTACTAGCCTTGGTCAGGTGACCCTGGGTTATATAAGAAAGTGGACTGAACAAGCCACAGAAAGACGGAAAGCACCATCCCTCATCAATCATTGCTTCAGTTCCAGACACCAGATTCTTGCCTTCAGTTCTAGCTCTGATTTCTCCTCATAATGATTTGACGTGATATGTCCTTCTGTATGCTGTGAATATGTGTTGCTTTCACTGATGGACAAATATAGCTGATTTGGCCAATGGCCAGGCAGTATAGAGCCAGGCACAAACAAAGACACAGAAAGAAAGAAAGAAGGCAGAGTCAGGGAGATGCTGTGTATCCTCTGAGGGGGTAAGATGCCAGAACTGTTGGTGAGTCACAGTCATGTGGTGATACACAGATTAATAAAAATGGGTTAATTTAATTGTGTGAGTTAGCCAGAAACACTCCTGAGCCACTGGCCTAGCAATTATAATTAATGTTAATCTCCTGAGTGTTTATTCAGGAACTGGCGGGCAGGAGACAAACTTCCATTTACCTGGATTATAAACTGTAACATAAAATAAACTTTTTCTCCTCCCTAAGTTGCTTTCAATCATGGTATTTATCACAGTAATAGAAAGCAAAGTGAGACGTGACTAGTGACACGTATTTATTGTATTGGTTAGCCAGTATCAGTGAGTTTACCACAGGCAAGCTATGTTGACCAAGTCAATTCATTGTAGACAAAGATGTAATGCATAAAATACTCTTGAAATTTATTTTAAGTTGAAAAAACAACATTTAAAATTTCTATTCTATGTAAAAATGTACTAATTTGTGAGTGTATGTTTGTGTGGATTTGTTTTCCTCTGTATTTTCCTAAATGAATTACCTAGGTAAGCTTGGCTATTTCTTGTTACTCACCCTGCCATCCGGGAATCTGTTACTGGATACTCCTGTGAAGAACTTTTGATCACTCTCTGGTTTTTGGCTGCTGCCTAGATGCTTACTGTCTTCCTTATCAGCTGGGTTAGCAGTGGTTTGCTGATCAGAAGGGACAGTCAGGTCTCTGCTCACCTGCCTTGCATAATCAGCCCTGGGTTTCTGGAGTGTGGTTTGAGGCTCTTCTGTCTTCAACTTCTCATTCTGCTTGCTGTGAAGAGAGTTTGCACCTTGTCAGTCATAAGGAACACTCATCATGCACAACGTTGGCATGAGAAGCAGAAGGTGTTAGTCTGGAAGCGTGAACAGCAGTAACAGCCCTGTGGGATATAGTGGTAAACGTGTCTAAGCACCAGGAACCACAGAGAACCCATGCTACTATCTGTCTTCTCAGACAATCCTTTCTCCACTCACTTCTGAATAATCTGACTATGTACTCAAGAACACTTACTATAAGAATGAACAGTCAAAGCTGAACACTAACCATTATCACATTCCTCACTTACAAAGCAAACAGATATTTCTAGTCTTTGCACCCAGAAAAGGAAGAAAGTCAGAGTGTGTTGCCAGGCCCCGGCCTGCTTGGTCTCTCCTCAGGTGGTTTACCCAGAGACTTGTTTTCTTTCAATGGTCCTTCAGTTCATTTTAATGCTAATCAGAATAAAAGAATGAACACTACACGAATGATTTTTTTCCTTTTTTTAAATTTAAATTAGAAACAAGTTGTTTTACATGTAAATCCCAGTTCCCTCTCCCTCCCACTCCTACCCTGTCCCCAGGAATGATATAAACAATAAGTTAGCCTTTTTTAATAAGTGAGAGTTTACAAATAAAAATAACAAGGTATCACTTTTTAATGGCGAAATTTTTTTTACGAATAAAATGAGAGCTGGCAAAATGGTTTAGTTATGATAACCAGGGCCCAGATGGTAGACAAAAACTGACACAAATGTCCAATTATAAAAATAAATGAAAATAGCCATTTCAACTATGGAAAATATATCACACAATGTGAAAGCATACTAAGCCTAAAAAGTTTGCCAGAGTCACCCACTATTTCTGAGTAAGAAACCTGGGCTGTTGTGTTATCTCTATGAAGTCACATTCTCTCATGCTATGTTGTTTTCTGTTTTCTCTATATGAAAAAAATTGCTTATCATCAGAAATAATTAATTTCAAAGTAGTTATGCCTGGTGTCAAGAAAGCATTGTTTAAACCGCAGTTGTTATTAATGATGAAGAATATTTGTTTTAAAATATGACATGTCTGAGCATGAAACAGATGCTCCAGTATTTTTTGATCTGATCCAATTTAAGTTATGTTCAGTCCTTTGAATACATGTGTAGATTTTACATTTATTTCTTTTGTAATGGTGCATTAAATGAAAAAGAAAGTTTAGAGAGAACTCAAATTGGCATCTATGTAAAAGATTGGAGAAGATTCCTAACAGGTAAGTAGAAAGAAATTCCTGGGATGTCAGGGGAGAACCCAGGAGCATAGATTCAGCAGCAAAACAGACAGGGTGTTTGCAGAAAGAGGTTCAGACAACATGCCTGAGTGTTCTGCAAGGTGTCTTTAGTTTAGCCATATGGACACTGTCAGGAATCTCAGCAAGGGGTTTTTGTGTGTATGGCTCAACGAGCTAGTCAAAGTGGACACTAGAATGAAGGGAGTAAAGGGAAGACAGCAATGAGGAATCACAGGCTGGAAGTGTAAAGACATCTGTCTACATGAGGGACACAGGATGGAAGTGTAAAGAATGGCATGAAGGCGTCTATCTACATGAGGGACGAGGTTGTCGACAGGCATGTAATCTGAGTTTTCAGACAACTCTTTCCTACTCTTGCATTTAAAGATGGCAAAGGTCACACATGGCAACATTAATGTGAAGGACCACATGTCACTGAAGAAGCACAGTGAACCTGGTAAAATAAGATGTTATGTCAGAGAGGCCCAGTTCAGGAAAGAAGCCAGGGAAGACACAGTCAGGGACATGTAAAGTCTCAAATTTATGTGTTTGGTGACAATGGAATAATAGCTGATAACAGCTTGAATTTTTCCCTCTGATAACAAGGTTCATTAGATCTCATTTTAAAGTATGTAACAGATAGTCTGAATTAAGGAGAAATTATCTGAATTATCTAGTATGAAAAGTAGAAAAGAGAACCAGTAGCTGACCGGGAAATGAGGATAGGTAGCCAGTCAATTAAAATAGAGAACATGGACTTTTTAACATCATTCTGGGAGTATGGATGCTCTCTTCTGGAATTCCTCAGTATCCCTCATGTAGATGCAGATAAAGCAGTGAGGTTCACCAAGGACTTTGCCTTACTAGACTGGTAAAGTCCAAAGACAATAGTTATGGGTAGAGTGCTAGAAAGAGAGGGTGCATATTTGACAAATTGTTCTTGTAGTGAGAAAAGTCAGGCATTGGTGTAAACCTACCACAAGACCCAGCAACTCCACTCTTAGGCATATATCCAAAAGATGCCCATTCATACAACAAAGATGTCTGTTCCACTATGTTCATAGCAGCTTTATTTGTAATTGCCAGAACGTGGAAGCAACCTAGATGTCCCTCACCTGAAGAGTGGATAGAGAAAATGTGGTACATCTACACAATGGAGTACTATTCAGCAGAAAAAAATAATGGAATCATGAGATTCGCAGGCAAATGGATGACACTAGAAGAAACCATCCTGAGTGAGGTAACCCAGTCACAAAAAGAGAAACATGGCATGTACTCTCTCATATATGGATTTTAGACATAGATCTGGGGAGTGCCAGCCTACAATCCTATGGCCAGAGAGTCTGGGAAACAGAAACTTTATTTAGTGGCTGATCGAAGAAGAGGCAGACTCCCTTGGTTAAGTACTGAGTTGAACTCAAGAAAGCCAGTAACAGAGAGGGAGGACTGATGACCAAAGGGATTAAGACTGGGCTGGTTTAACCCCCAGAAACAGCTGACCAGACAAAGGTTAACTCTTGAATCCCAGGCATCAGCCTGGGAAGCCAGCATGGGACTGATCAAGACCCCCTGAATCTGGGTGTCAGTGAAGAGGCCTAGGGAATCTACTGAGCCTTGGGCAGCAGATCAGTACCCATCCCAAGTATACACACGGACTTTGGACTCCCATAGAACAATGTGAGGTGCACTCTCACCCTGAACTCTTGGGGAAGGGTCTAGGCCCTGCCTTATATGAAATAACACACTATGCACACCCCCATGGAGGGCCTCACCCTCCCTGGAGAAATGAGGGGATAACGGGTGGGGGGGGGGAGGGCACGGGAGGAAGGGAGGGAATGGGAGAGGGACCTGGAACTGACTTGTGAAGCAACCTTGTTTCTTATCTAAATTTAAACTGGAAAATAAAATTAAAAAAAAGAACAGCGTCAAAAAAATAATAAATTATAAAGTTTGGAATTTTATAGTTTAGAATTGATCTAGGCTTCTAGAAGTCAGGATAACAGTTACTGAGGGGGTTAAAAAGAGTGCAGGACGGAGAGTTTGGGACTTTTGGGGGGTACTGGTATCTTTCCCTATCTTGAACAGGACATTTGCTGCATTACTATACGATGTTTGTGAAAATCCACTGAGTGGTAGATAAAAGATACATGCTTTTATGTCAGTGAAGATATAGCTCCCTGAAATTCATAGAGAAACTGGCATAAAATTTACAAATCTATCTACCTGATATATACATGTCTAGTGAGAATTGCAAAGAATTAGTATTATTTGGTGTTCAGAGGAGAAAGTCATAACTATGGTCTGTGACAACTAGTAAAAAAATTATATTACTGATTGTTTGCTTTCACGATGCCTACCCTATAGCTCTTCCCATATCTTGGCTTATTTTTTCCTCAAATCAATTCCATTAAAGGCAGATTATCCTTCTCTTTTTCAAGGTTTAGAGATTTTAAATTACTACCTGGCTGTTTAATGGTAGACTATGAGTTAAACTAAATACTGGAACGTCCAGCCTTACGTCCTGTAGGCAGTAGAGTCATAGAGACACTGTGGACATTTGGGATTATGTAGGGATCTGAAAATGAAGGAGCAAATAACAAAAGCAAAGATTACAGACTTTGAAGGCTGTCGAGCTGAGATAACACCTATAGATGAAGGCAAAGAAACTGTATCATCTTTGCTTTCCATTCCTATAAAATCCTTCTCTTGCCAGACTCAAGACAGAAATGCCCAAGAAATACTGCAGTGTATCTGCCTGTCTTTTAAAACAACCACAGTTGATGTGAAACCAAAAATAACCTGTTAGGTCTGCTTCAAGCGAAAACTGTCTTAAAAAATACATAGCACTTTAAAAATTAACATGAAGTAGACTCTCCAGCTGAGAAACGACATGTGTCTCTGCTTAGCACAAACAATTCTTCAACACACACTTTTTGTTGTGTTGTTCACAAACTCACAGTTCTGTCTTCTAGGCAGTGTGTTAGCTACCTACTTTACTGAAAATAGAAGCTTGCCATTTGAGAAGAAAGGGTAAAGCACACAGTCAGTGCTATCTTGGGAACCCAGCTGTTTAGTCTCCCCCACATGTACTTCTGACCTCAGCTTCTCATCCTCAGAGGCACTGTGAAGAGCTCAGTGGCATCCCGGGCTAGAGCAATGAGGAACAATTACAGTGATCACTAAATGAGAAGAAGCTGTCCAACTGTTCCCTCTTCCACACTGGAGACTAGCTGCAACAAGGCCTTTAGGGATACTCACTGTTGAGTCAGAGTCCTGGGGTTAGAGAGAAACACTGTGGGTTGAGTGACTGCATCCTGTGAGCTGGTGATGGAGGGTCCCTGATGTGCCTCCCATGTAACTCCACCTCATCAGGTCAAAAATTTCAGTTGGATTACATAAAATCTCAAATAAAGTACCCAAGAGACTCAGGAAAAGGTCATCAGATGAATTCTAAAGGTCTGTCATCCTTGGCAGTCAATCAATGCCTTCAATTTCCAACCATGTGCTAACTATCCTCTGGAGTAGACAGTCTGGAGATTGACAGTACAAGGCCTAGTGATCTAATTATAAGTTTAGTAAAATGTTTTTATTTAAAGTCATAAAATATCAGCATAATCAGGGTCCTGATCATCATCATCTTTTTTAGAGAGACATTAAATGTAAAACAGAAATTGAGGAAGGAATACACCTAAAATATTTCCAAACTTCTCTTAGTAACTGAAGGATAATTCTGTGATAGAGTA